GAGACCTCTATTGTCTCCCATAAGAAAGCAACCATATTACAAGCAGGCAACCTGAAAGTAATCCACAGGTGCTTAGAATGCAGATGATAAAACATACATTAGTCTGTTGTTTTTTATAATAAAATGTCTGATGTTGGGTATCTTACAAGAAATGGAAATGTGTTTACCTACTATGCTGTAGGCTGGAACATTCTATATCAATCTACCAGTATCTTCCTAGGGATTTTCACTGTGGGTTCTTGTGATAAGTGTCAGGTAGCTTGCAAGGTTATCTATGCCCTTCTCCCTACTTATGTTTATCCTGAGAATTGAGATTTATGGCCTCAAACTACTACTGAACTATACTATAGTCTTAGCCCTTGATTTTGAAGAAAGTTTTACTGTGTGTTAAATGACACCAAGCAACACCTAGCTCCCTCTATACCACCCCCAGTCCACTCCTCCTCATGGGTAAGGGCTCCCATGAGGAGACAACATTGCCTGCTGTAATAGGTTGGGTCAGGGCCCAGCCCCTCTCCCATGCATTAAGACTGGCCATGGCAACCCACCATAGGGAATGGGCTCCAACAAACTAGCTCATGTATTGGGATTATATCATGGTCCTACTGCCTCTGAGCATGGCATCTCACCCTAAAGAATGGGCTCCAACAAGGTAGCTTATGTACAGGGTTTGTATCATGATCCTACTGTCAGGGGCCCCTCTGATAGTTCAAGCTTCCCAGATGTCTTTCACTTATGGAAGGTTTAGTTTGGTTCCCTGGAGTCTCTACAGTTATAGGTCTAGTGGCCATGAGTGGCCATGAGCTTGGTGCAGCTGTCTGTAAATTTCTCCATCATGATATTGACTTCCCTTACTCTTATGTTCATTCCTCCCAGTCTTCACCTGAATTCCTGGAGGTTGACCTTTTTCTTGGTTGTGATCTCAGCATCTAGAGGGCTCTATAATGACAGTTGGTGTATTCATTGATCTGATTACAAGGCCAGTTCAGACATCCTCTCTACTATGGCTAGAAGTCTTAGGGGTTCTCCTTTTGGTTTCTTGGGAGTTACCCTAGCACCAGGTTTCTCCCTAAGCCCATAGTGGCTTTCTTTATTAAGATATCATTTTAATTGCTCTTCCATTGCATCCCTCCATGTCTAGGACATCTTGTTCCCTCCGGTTTTCATCCTTCATCCCCTCCTGCTTACTATATTCCCTACCCCCAATTTACCCTGTAGATAGAATCTAATTTCTCTTCCCAGGTTTTCTCCCTCTTTTGATGAACTGTTACAGGATTATGTATCATTTCCCTTTTCTTACATGTAGTAAGCCTTATCTTCAGACTGATACTTATTTTTTTAGGCCTGGATTTATGGACAGAAATTGGCTAAAGTTGATTTTATTGTAAAATGTTTCTCCTCTTCCATTGATATGAATGACAGCTTTGCTGGGTATAGTAGTTTATGCTGGCATCTTGTAGAACATGCACCCAGGTACCTCAGTATTTCAGAGAATCCATTTAAAAGTCAGGAATTAATCTAATGAGTCAGCTTTTGTATGTGGTATGGTCTCTTTCCTTTGCAGGTTTCAGTGTATTTTTGCACTTTATTGTTTTTATTTGTTTGTTTTGATTTTTTTTTTATTTGGTTTGGCTTTTTGGGACAGAGTTTCTCTGTGTATCTTTGGACCCTGTCCTTGAACTCACTTTCTGGACCAGGCTGGGCTGCCTCTGCCTCTTGAGTGCTGGGATTAAAGGTACCACCCACCTGGCACGTTTAGTATTTTGATTATTTATGCAGGGTTTCTTTTCTGGGCCAGTCTATTTGGTGTTGTGTATGCCTCTTGTTCTTTAATTGGTATTCCCTTTTGATTGGGAAAATTGTTTTCAGACAACTAATGTACAAATAGTTATCTCAGTATACTCAACAAAGTTACTACAAGAAAGAAGCAAAACACAAGACCCATACCTTCATTCCTGATCGCTCTGTGACCCATATCATCCTTCCTGGATTAGATTGTTGTAGTTCCCCATTAATGTTAATCACAGGGTATAGTAGTAACAAGAGATGCCCTAAAGGATCTCTTGAACTCCAGACATAATCCTTCTTTCCTCCATTATTGAGAGGCAATCCAATTTCCCTATGGTAATCTGGATATATCACCTCTCATAATGGTGTTATTCCTCCTTCAGACTGTTGGTTTAAGGACATTTGAAGCCCAAAATGACCACAGGGAAGTCTGAGTTTCCATTTCTATATAATGTTTGTTATGGCTTTTGGAAGGAGCATTCCCCACTCTTGAATCAAAACTTCTAGGTCAGCAGAATTTAGAGATGAAAAAAACAGGAAGCAAAAACTTCCCTAGGTGGTTACTAGGGGTGGTAGTGAGTGGAACTATTTATTTTTTTCTATCCCTTGATTCCTGGACCCATGGATCCTGGCTATAGAAGAAACTATACCATATATTGGATACTCATTCAGAGCATATACTACCCTCTGGAGAACCTTGCCTCAGCCTTCAAAATGCTGCCACCTAATTGATGTTGTAACTGTGTCTTCAAAAGACCATTCCATATTTCTATCAGGCCAGCTTCTTCAGGATGCTTGAATCCTTACAGTTGTGTTGTTAGTTATTTTTTAAATTTGAAACCAAGATTGATAGGTCACATAGTCTCCCCAAGCAATCTCCTTTTACTATGTCATTTATGTGATTTTCAGCTAGATTTTGTGGTTCAAGACAAACATGCCAGAGACATTTCTTTCCATCATTTTCATAATTTATATGTTTTTCCATGACTTTGAAGTAAGAATGCACCCAAATGTCTCTGTTTTAACACTGTTATCATCTTCAGAAATAGTTTTGTTAACTGAGCCTGCTTAGGGCCCTTTGAGCTGCCAACTTCAGGTTTGGCTTTGGAGAGAAGCTGACACCACCTGTGTGCTGTGCTGTGCTGTGAGTGCTGCAGGGAGCTCAGCAGAGAGCATGGGCAAGCTGGAAAAACAAGGCATGGTGAGCTATGGGTTGCTATCCACAGAGTGGGAGGAGTGGCCAGTTGAGCCATGGGAACTAGTGTGGTGGGTCCTCCCTTGGCCGGGTGGGAGCCAGGAACCAGACACAAGAGTTCCCCATGTCCTGTATGGTCCAGCATGGTCCGATGTGATCTTTGTAATTCCAGGGGCCAGTCTGGCAGCCTCTGAGTAACTTCCCTCTGCCGGCTGCATCTCTGTAGAGCATTGGGGGTGAAACTGTACTTTGAAATATCCTTGTTATTGATATCACTGTGAAATGCCGGTACCCTCAGTGCCTGTGTTGTCACTAGGAAACAGATTTATCAAAGTTAGGGATCCATGGTCTCTCTAGTATTTTGAACATTTAATATTTAAGTTTAGGATCCATCTGAAGGTAATTCTGTGGAGCTTGTAAACAGTATTTCCTGTGTAGAGTAGCACTCCACTGCTAAACTGTGCTGTAGAGGAGTAGAATTGATGGTATGAGGAACAACCAGTCATTTGGAGACATCAAGTCACAAAGTAGAATTTAGGTAAAGGAGGTGTGCATCCCCAAATCCCAAAGGTAAGTACCATAATAATGGTGCCTGTTAGAGATTAGCATAAAATGTAAATGTTTGTTACTCAGGATTAACCAGCTATATTCCCATAACAAAGGAGAAAACCCTGATTTACAATTGTCAGAAGGGCTCATCCTGCCATTAAAAATCTGGCCTCTAAATGCTGCTCAAGGGTCTATTACAGGGTCACAACCAACATTAAGTTCTGATGTGTTATATTAATTCTAGAACATCTGCATCTTCATTCTTTTGCAAAAGCAGCTTCGAGTCAAGACCTCCCATATTGATTGAGGTGGACCTGAACCCTGTCTGTAGCCCCACAGGGCATTGCCTTTGTTATCCTCCTGACTAACCACCCTAAATCTTGGATTACATGTTTGCAGCACCACAGAGTTGTAAAATTACTAACTTGAGTTACATAGTGGATGGCCCATCCATGGCAGAACAGGTAATGGATTTGTGTGTGGAGTATGGCCTCTCTTCAGACCAGAAGATGAGGAAACTGTGTACTGTTTACACTACAGGCAAAAACAGACTAGAAAGTAGCTAGATCACAGACTGAAGTTTAGGAGAGTGAGCTGCAGGGGACTCCATTACAAAGAAAGACTGATGGGGCATGGTGATTGACATTCTCTGTAATTTCCCATCATGTATTGATTCCTTCCACATGAATGAAGACAGACAGAGTTGGTGGGTGTACAATTAAGGAGGATAGATTGAACTATTCAGTATTCAGTTTCCAAGCATCAAACTCTCCTATGCAGATGTGTGCAATCTTGCTTGACACAGTTAAGTCAGCTCAGAGGTTAGAGACACAGGTTATGGGCTGTAACTTAATGTGTCAGTTCTCAGTAACTTACATTTTGCACAGGACAAAGTTATCCAGTCTGTTATTAATGGTATTCTCTCTGTCAGGGAAGTGCCTACTCCATTTCAAAGTCAGTACAGCTAAGTGTTCTTCATTATAATGATGAACATTACTTTTTAGCTTATAACAGCTAAATCTTCATTTAGTCAATGAAGATTTGACTAAAATTTGCAGAAGTTCAAAAAGAAAGAAGTAATGGAGTTAAAAATCCTAAGTCTGTATTCTAAGTTCCCCACTTTTTTTTTCTCTACAATGTTGATGGTGGGGTTTGCTGTAAAAGTGGGAACAGCTGCTTTGTAGGGTTACTAAAATATTTGTGGGAAGGGACATGCAATGAGGAATTACGGTAGTGTTTGTGAGCTCGTGTGCAAAGGAGAAATAAAAGAAAGGTAGGGAGAATCTAGAGATTGTGAGAAGCAGAACAGTCAGGGACTTTGAGGGTTTAGGGAACTATATCCTGGGCCCGGAGCATCCTGGGAAAAGATCTAAAAGACAGCAAGGCCAAGAGCAATGCAACACTGGCAAACCTTCAGTGAGCGTCAAAGGCTGAGAGGACTCCAGGGCAAGAATATAAGACAGTATGTTCAGGATCCTCTAGTCATAAACTCACTGCCATCATGTGCTGTGCTTCCTTTACACACTCCAGAATCTCTATTAAGGAGCCGTCTCAGAGCCCCTTTCACCTCCTTATTACGCAGTGTGTAGATGAGGGGATTAAGGGTCGGGGTCATGACAGTATAGAAGAGAGAGATGAACTTCCCGTGGGTGTGGGCATATGAGCTGTTCGGCTGGATGTAGATGGCAGTGCTGCTCCCATAAAACAGAGACACCACCATCAAGTGGGATCCACATGTGCCCAGGGCTCTGCGCCACGCCTGGGCTGACTTGATTCTTACAACTGCTTTGACTATGTATCCATACGATGTCAGTATCAGTGTTAAGGGTAAAAGCAGCAAGACCAATGAGGCCACAAAGAGCTGGATCTCATTGGCATGAATATCCACACAGGCAAGCTTGATCATGGAAGGGACTTCACAGAAGAAATGGTGCAGCCACAGGTGGCCACAGCGGGGAAGCCAAAGAGTGACTGTTCCCTGGATGAGAGCATTTCCTATTCCACTGAGCCACGAGATTCCTGCTAGAGCCCGACAGAGCTGTGGATTCATCACAGCAACATAGTGGAGAGGTTTGCAGACAGCAGCATAGCGGTCAAAAGCCATTACTGCCAGGAGAATGCACTCAGTAGAGCCCAGAGTCAAAGAGACATAAAGCTGCACTGCACAGCCCACAGCTGTAATGGTCTTGGCTGGTCCTTTCAGGTTCCACAGCAGTTGGGGGACAATACTGGTGGTGAAGCAGATGTCCACGAGGGAGAGGTGAGTAAGAAAAAAGTACATAGGGGTTTTGAGTTTAGGATCTATCGAAGAGATCAGAATAATTATCGAATTTCCCACCAGAGTGAGAAGATAAGAAATCAAAATAACTACGAAGAGTGTTCTTTCCAGCTCTGGCTGGTCTGAGAAACCCACCAGAATGAAGTCATCATTGACACTGCTGTTAATCATTCCTGTCACCTGGTGTAAACAACAATGAAAACATTAAAAATTAAGAGACAGTCACAATATCAATGTTCATAAAATAATTTAAAATGCTGACACTGAAGAAATTTGCAGTGACTTATGGTTCTGTGCCTTTTAGAAGTTGAAGATTTGCCTGATTAGAAGCTATTAGGAGCTGAGACAGTTTGTCACAGAGGAAAATCCATCAAAAGAATAAATGTACTTGATCCACTTATAACAATTCATTCGAATTGTTTGGTTTCTTTAATGTTTAGTATAAATAATTATTTTAAAACATCTACTTTCTTCAGCTACTAGTGAGGGCTTTATTTGTTTGTTGGTTTTTTTTTTAGTTTAAAAAGCATGAAAAACGGGTTCTGGAGATTTATAATATACTTCTACTTTTGATGTAAAATATCAAACATTTGTGTATTAATGAAACTGACATTTATATCAGGGTTTATGCACACATGAGTTCAGAAGCATGCTTCTGTGGCAATCATTAGTTCATCCAGTGTACCAGCTACTAGCTTGTGGCAAATTGGATCAGATAGTGCATTTGCACAGCTCCCTTCCTCAGTTGTGTGGTCCTGAGTGTGGATACTGGCTTTCTGAAAGAGAAGGTGAGTGCATTTGAGTATAGGGCATATTTGCCAGTGTAACTAGGGCTCCTCAGGTAAGTGGAAGAGGCAGTTTCATTGTGTATCTAGCATTAATTTCCTTCAAGAATAATAAAGAAATAACTTTAAGAACTTGAAATTTTATACATAGTAATCATTTGTGCCCAAAGACTGTTACTATGCCCATGTGTAATGCAGTTGGTACCTGGCATCAGTACAACTATTGAGGCCTTAAAATTATTCCTTAATTACAATTTCATATCCTGTACTTGTTTTATTTTGGGGAAAATAATTGTAGAAGTAACATATGAAGTAAGGAATGAAATAATTCTTTTGACAAATTTTACTTATATAAAATTGTTACAGAACTCAGTGAAAATTAAATCTGGGAGGGATGGGTAACAGATCCAGATATCCAATAACCAAAAACTGTGTGAAGTATACCTGAGTGATGACTGAAATTAGAGAGAGGGCTACACAGTGATAAAAAGGGACTATGAAGGAACCCTTAAGGATCAAACCATCTTGTGTGTATATGCTAATAACATATATACATCTAAACATCTATATACACATTGTTATCATATATGAATATACACATGTTCATACATAACGTGTTAACTTACATTAAATATAATGTGTGTATACACACATACACACACACATACACACACACACACACACATATATATATATATACATATGTAGTTTTAACTCTAATAAAGGCATTCACATGCACCCATACAAACGCAAATACATGACTATCATTTCCTCTCTTTGTTGCAATTAAAGGAATGAAGTGAAGACAGATATACCACTTCTGTTCTACTCCTGTTCATGGGCATCTTACTCACCTTGGTCAAGTGAAAACTTTATGTCATTTCTAAGATACTCACAAATACAGGCAACCTCCAGAGAATGTGATAACACAATTTTATGGCCAAAGACCAATTCTCTATTTATTAGAATATGCTCATCTTGACTTTTTAGAAGAATTGTTTTTCTTCCTGATGCACTCCTTATCACTCGTGAGTTCCATGCTCTCTTTTCACATAGGTGAGCAAACATCACATGAAACCCAAGCATTGTTGAGAATCACACACATGTCTATAAAACCCAAATCATATGTGGTAGAAAACTAGATGACATAATCACCCTGGAAGCTGATGCACAGATTAAGATACAAGGGAATAGGTTTAAAATAGGTTATTAATTTTATTCAGGGAGAAGTCACTTACATGAGAAACTGATGACCTGAAAGTTTCTGCTCCAAGGATTCACACCTAGGCTGCTCTTTGTGACCCCACCAGAACCAAGAGAGAGAGCTGGGGTCCAGGATCCCAGACCTAACCTAACCTTCCATCATGTCCTCCCCTGTGACCACACCCTTTTGGTGGCCAAAAGGGCGTGGTCAGTGCTACAGGTGTGGGCAGGGTGGCTATGTCACTACAGACATAAAATAATTTCCTTCACTCTTTCATAGAGATAATGTTGAAACAAAAATGAAGTCTGAGCCTCAGAGCACACAGTGTTATTACCTTGAATGGAAATCAGTGTTTCAGGCTTTGTGTTGATTGTAGGGCTACTATTTAAGGGTGTAATTCTCTAAAGACCAAAAACCAAGAGAGATTGTACATGAATACAGGGTGCTGCTTTAGAAAGAACCCAGGGACACAGATCTCCCATTATGGCAATTAGCCTCATGTTGTATTGCATCCAAAGCTGAACTTTCCAGAAGGCCATTCAGAAGGGGATTCTATTGCTTTTTTGATCTTTCAAAGTTATTTAAGTATAAGCAAAAAATCCAAAGACAATAACTTTTGTATTCCTAACCTATTTACATATTTTTTTAAAAAATTCAGCTGTTTCTATGCTAAATTTTCATTAATAACTTTTATAGCATGTGTGTATGTACATGCTTACTGTATAGATAACTTCAAATTCATTTAACCATCACTAAATATATTACTACGTCTTTTCTTCTTATCTATCTACCACATTTGCATATGTTTTGTATGGCCCTGTGTAACTATTGCTATGAATTTAACCAAGTGTAAGCAAAATTATGTGTTGCTAGTTTTGTCTTTGCATTAATCCAATACCATCTTTATGTGACTCATTTATTTTGGTTCATGCTAGCAGCAGATGACAACCTCCACCCCCCACACTGTATTTTGCTATTTTAATATATCATAAACTTATCTGTAATGGTGCTGGTAGCTATATTTGCATTTATGGGTTTCGTCTTTAATAAATAATGCTGCTCTGGATATTTTTTCATGTATATTTTTGGTAATTAAAACTTTTAAGTATTTTGATAATAGCTTTTAGCACAGGATTGTTCAGTCACAAAATATGCATGCACCCAGAGTTGATGGCTCTTTGGATCTATGGAAATTGGAAATTGGTGTATCCTCCATCACACTTCATATTTACACTCTACAACCAGATACCCACCATCTGGGTCACAGCACTTTTTGCCCTTTTAATGTCAAGCAATTTTGTAGTATGCAAAGGGCATCACATTATAATTCTCATTTGCACTCCTCAGATGATAAACACTGACCAAGATGGAATTTGGTCAAGATTATCATCACCTGGAAACTTTCCAGGTGAGTGGCCCCAAAGTGTGTGTTGTGGGAGGCTTATATGAACAAAATCCATTGACCCTTAAACTTTCCCAGAAGGCTTTGTTGTTTTCAAGAACTACAACTTCCAGAATCCTAGGAAGTTACCTGGTCCTTGGGTCATTGGAGCAGGTGGGGTTTACAGGTTAACTTAGGGTCTAACATAGTTTGTCATTTTTAATATGTCATGGAGAGAGCTTATATAGTACCTGCTTAAGTCTTTAAATTTTTCATCAATTTATTTTCAGGAAACTAGGTTTTAGGTTTGAAAAAATAGAAGAATGTAGAAGAGTGATTCCTGGTGAAATGTTTTTCTCATTTTGTTCAGTAGCAGAGACTTGCAGGGGTCCCTTAATGTGATTTTGTGGGTATACAAACTAATAAAGTGCCTTTTGTGGATATGCAAACTAATATAGTAGGATGAAGTCAGATAAATCAAACTAATTAATATGCCTTGTGTTCTTTATTTTTCAAACATATTTGTGATAATTATTATGGCTGAAAATTAATACTTAACTAAGAGGAAAATATTTCACTGAAAGACAAGTTTTAAAGGGAGTTCTCCAGTGTAATATAGTTCTGAGAAATAATACTGACTATTTTTGAACAATAGGTGATTCACGGGTTGTCAAATTTTAGCATCAGGAAAATGAAATATTGGACTTACACTTATTTCACTCAACACTGGTAGTTTATTTCTAGTTCAGATGAGAACGTTTTGTTAGCTTTTTTTCCAAATGCATTTGTGAAGTTTACTGGTATCAGAATATAAATAATATAGTAGAATTCTCAGACTAACCTATGAGTTTATAAATCAATAATTTAATTATTGATTATGATTCAAAAGAAAAGACAGTATGTTCAATTTTGGGTGTTATGAAGAGCTTCAGTATACTAAGTTATTTTAATGTTACCCAAATTGTTAATTTTGCATTAAGCATTGTTTTTGTGGATATTTGTAAAAGTGTGCAACAGACAATCAGAGGTATACTGCTTTTTCAGAAACCATAGACTGTCAAATAAACAAACAAACAAACAAACACTAGTCCCAGGTGTGTATACTTCCTTTTGAGTTGTTGGTTAATGGGCTCCCAAAAAAACTCATGGTATTGGCATTTCTCTTAATTGTCTATCAGAATTTGATGGTAAGACCCTATTGCTGAAGACACCACATACTTTTATCATAGGGCATGAGGAAATCTAAAAAGTAACCAGAAAATTCCTCCGTGAGGATGCATACTTCCAAAAGGCTATGAAGGTTGTCAGGAGAGCAAAGGTATCAACAGTCTTACTAACCTGTAAAGTCTGAACTACAATAATTATTTGGCTGGAAGATTGCCCATTGGTACAATAGTGGCACAATGTTTGGGGGGATAACCAAAATCTGTCTGATTAGATTTATGATTTATTCAACCAGAGGGAACCTATGCCTAATACTGTCAATCTGGCTAAGGACCCATCAATAAGGTCCTGGGTTCCAGGGAAGAACGTACTACCATTATTTTGATAAATTGATGAGTTAACAGTGAATGAATGATGTAGAAGTATGTGTGTGAGTGTGAGAGAGAGAGCTGTGTAAAAGAGCTTGTGCTATGTAAAGGTACTGTGCAAAGTACTGTATGGTAAGAGAGCTATGTAAATACAATGTGCAGCTGTAGCTGTGTGGAGACAGAGATTTCCAGAGAGCATTTTAGAAAAATGAAATAAAAGAGAAAGTTGCCATCAGAAAGCATGTGTGTTTCCGTATGTTTTTTCCCCCTCAAATAGAAAA